CCCTCACGGCTGAAAGGGCGAGCATGTTTGGTGTGACGGGGATTCGAATCCGCGACCCTCAGATTGGGAGTCGAGCGCCCTAACCACCTGGCCATGCCGGGCCCAACTTTAAAGAGAATAAACAAATAACCATAACGAATCGCCTCTTCACTGGACAGAAGTGTCGTTTCTAAACTATAAGTGAAACACAACGCACTGAGTCAGTTTTCTAAAGTAAACCAGTAAACAAGTGTTAAGTTATCTCTCTGCTTGACCGTTTTCTCTCTGTAGCGAAAAAAGAGTAAATTTTCTTTTCGTGTGTTCTTTTCTCTCTTGGTTAATAGACTTGCTATTCCCGAAGTAAAACACGATTTGAAAAGCGCTGGATACTAAGATTTTATTGTTAACGTTTTGTTCTGATAATTAATGATGAAGATAAAAAAAGGGACAAACTTAGAGCATGTGCTGTAAAAGCAGATGAAATTAACTTCCGAGGTTTCTATTGACAGGCAATGCTCCCTTTCTGGTAAAAGCTCAAGAAAACAACATCTAAATGATTTGATAACTATAAAGCAGAAAAAAAGAATCACAAGAAAAGTAAAAACTAGAAAAACTCCCCTCCCCCTTCGAAGTAAAACTTTCTTGCTTGAAAATAATATAGAAAAACGTAAACAACCTTCTCGCCGATAAATGTACAAGACTAGGGAACGCTTACATAGCCAATAAAGAACACAAAACAAGTACCAAATATCAAAAAAGCACAAACATAGCCAATAAAGAACACAAAACAAGTACCAAATATCAAAAAAGCACAAACAAAGGGAACATCCTCCAGCGCACACAGGTAATCAGTTAATTCCCTTTCTCTTGGCGTGTTATGTAACTTTATTTTTGTAATAGATTTCCTAGGGGTTTTATTCATGAGCACGTAAGACGTCATTTATCCGAATCTTATTAAGATTGAAAAAATTGTATTTGACATTTGTACTGACTTCATCACAGATTGTTGTGAAGTTTTACTCCAAATCGAGAAAAAATGCCTGTTCAGAAAGTGTCTATTATGAATTGAACAGGAAACAAATGTCTGTTATGTATGAAGCGGATTTATTATTATATATATTTCTTTTAATATCGACATTTGTTTAGATTAAATTCATATTTAGAAATATGTATAGCTTATACTGTTAAATATGTATTGCGAAACTCTAGCCTATTCTTTTAAGTTTTAGAAGATTCTCGAGTGTGAAAATCAACAATATATGCATGTACGTAAACGATAGT